TGGGACTGATGGGGCTCCCCGTGCTTTTAATTGAAATGGGTTTCCGTGTGAGTTCCCAAAGCTAAACAGTCCTTGGTCACACCGGAAGGAAATAAAGAAAAGTAAGTATGATGATTGTACCAAGTAGTGGAATTGCAAGTGAGGTTTTTCTTGTTTATTAGAAAATTCTTTTCTTGTTGTTTTTATAGTGATGTGCAATAAAAACAATTGGGAGAAGGAAGAAAAGTTGACCTGGATTTTCTTAATGCAAAGAAAACCACCACCCAAATACCCACTACACAGATTTACGTGTATTATCCAATTCAATTCATTCAGAATTCTGTGAAGTCAGTCAGATAATTGTTATCCCAGCTTAACTGACAGATGTTAGGAATGAGACTTGAAAATGCTCAGCCAGGCCAGGTGCAGTGGCTCCTGCCTGTAATCCCAGCATTTTAGGAGGGTGAGGTGGGCAGATCACCAACCTAACCAACATGGAGAAACCCTGTCTCTACCAAAAATACAAAACCAGCTGGGCATGGCGGTGCATGCCTATAATCCAGGCCACTCAGGAGGCTGAGGCAGGAGCATTGCTTGAACCCGGGAGGCGGAGTTTGGGATGAGCCAAGATCGCGCCACTGCACTCCAGCCTGGGCAACAAAGGCGAAACTCCGTCTCAAAAAAAAAAAAAGGGTTCAGCCAGGATCTCACACCAAGACTGTGGTGGAGTGCCAAGATGTCCTCTTTGGAAAGAATCACGTGTGCTGGTTGAAACACCACCAATAAACACCTTGGGCTGTGAGTTGGACACAGTGAGGTAAATACATGTTCTGCAGCATTCCAGTCTTTCAGTGTCCCATGGGCTATTTATTCCCACATGGAGAGCACAGGTAGAGGTCCTTTACAAACCCTGCAGGGACAGTGATTTGCATGGGGAGGGCTGGTGCACAACTCTGCTGGGTGTGAGCACTACAGGCCTCTGGAGGCTGTGACTGTTCAGAACTTGGAGCCAGTTGGGGGCCTCCAATGCCCTGTGCTGATGAGCTGTCCTGGGGGCTTCTCCTCACTAGGGTCTTCTCTCAGTCTCTAAAGGTGTGTACAGTCTCTCCTGCGCACACAGACAATGGGCGGGACAAGCATCTCTCCTGTCTAAGGCCCAGTCACCAAGCATTCCCTCCAGGGGTTGGGGTTTGCAAATTCTCACTACATGTAACAGCCCTTCTGCCCCCTCGTATTTTCTAATTCTGGAGTGGTGGTTCCCAGTCTCTTCACCACTAAGGAAGCTTAGGGGATTTCTTCCCTCCTTATGTTTCAAAATGGTTTTAACTACCAAACAGAATCCTCTAAGTGATCATTTTTTTTTTTTGAGACAGAGTTTCACCTTTGTTGCCCAGGCTGGAGTGCAATAGTGCGATCTTGGCTCACCACAACCTCTGCCTGTTGGGTTCAAGTGATTCTTCCGCTTCAGCCTCTGGAGTAGCTGGGATGACAGGCATGTGCCACCATGCCCAGCTAATTTTGTATTTTTAGTAGAGATGGCATTTCTCCATGTTGGTCAGGCTGGTCTCAAACTCCTGACCTCAGGCAATTCACCCACCTTGGCCTCCCAAAGTGCTGGGATTGCAGGTGTGAGCCACTGCACCCTGCCTTCATTTGCTTTCTTGCACTGTTCATCAAAGATATATTTAAGATCAGCATGAATACAAGGTTACATCATTTACAATATTTGAAAGTAAGTCCCAGCCCCAGTTGAGATTCGAGTCTGGGCTAGCTGACCTAAAGGGGTTGTTAAAAGTCTAGTAATAAGAACAGCTGTCTCCCTTTCCTTCTCCTGCTATTGCAGATACTTTTTTCCTCTAGGACCACTGACTTCTGGAGATCTATGATTCATAACATTGTGGCTAGAAATGCAATGTCAAAGAGGACATGAGGCCAGGTATGGTGGCTCTCTCCAAAATCCCAGCACTTCAGGAGGCTGAGGTGGGTAGATCATGAGGTCAGGAGTTCAAGACCATCCTGGCCAGGTTGGTGAAATGCTATCTCTACTAAAAATAGAAAAAATTAGCAGGCATGGTGGCAGGTGCCTGTAATTCCAGCTACTGCAGTGGTTGAGGCAGAGAATTGCTTGAACCTAGGAGACCGAGGTTGCAGTGAGCTGAGATTGTGCCACTGCACTCCAGCCTGGGTGACAAACCTAGACTCTGCCTCAAAAAAAAAGAAAAAAAAAAAAGAAGATGCAATAATTCAAGTTCCTCTTTCCCTTGGGTTACCTCTCCTGGGCCAATTAAGAACAGGAACATGGAGAAAGGAACCCAGGGTTATGCCATAATCACACAAAGATCTGTGTACATACGATGGCCCAAGGTGGTAGGGCCCAAGGTGGTAGGGCCTGCCCATGACTCACCATTATCATAACGCAGCCTAACTATCCTGTTTTGCTTTTAGCTATTCAAGACTTTTCCAATCATGGAAAATTCACGTATTCCCAACAGTTTATTAACTGAATCACTGGATATAATGCCAGAGGAGTGGGACCTGCTTGACCTCTCTTTCCTGGTGTCCAGGTGCCCAGAAGCCCCTGTGGGGCAGTGGGATCCAGAGGTAAGAAAGCACAGTCCCTGTGTAGCCTCACAGGGCTGGTTCTGAATTGTTCCAGGTCAAGCCAGGAGGCATAAGCAACCTGCGCTTCATCCTTCCAACATCTTTTTAGTAGTAACCCCATTCCTTTGATTAAAACACCTACAGTGGTGTCTTACATTTTTCTTCTATTTTCTTTTTTTTTTGACAGAGTCTCTCTTTGTTGCCCAGGCTGGAGTGCAGTGGTGCAATCTCGGCTCACTGCAACCTCTGCCTCCCAGGTTCAAGAGATGTCCCTGCCTCAGCCTCCTGAGTAGGTAGGAGTACAGGTGCTGTGCCACCATGCCCAGCTAAGTTTTTGTATTTTTAGTAGAGGCGAGTTTTCACCATGTTAGCCAGGATGATCTCGATCTCCTGCTCTTGTGATCTGCTTGCATCGGCCTCCCTAAGTGCTGGGATTACAGGCGTGAGCTACTGCACCCAGCATGTCTTACATTTATTATTATGATTATTATTATTAATATTAAGGTGGGGTTTCATCATGTTGGTTGGTTAGTCTTGAACTCCCAACCTCAGGTGATCCGTCTGCCTTGGCCTCCAAAGTGCTTGGATCACAGGCGTGAGCCAATACGCCCGGCCTCATGTTTTACATTTTTCAAAGCATAACTCAAACATTTCTTCCTTTAGAAACCTTCCTGGGTCTCCAAAACAGGGGTCCTCAACCCCTGGGCCATGGACTGGTACCGGTCTGTGGCCTGTTAGGAACTGGGCCGCACAGCAGGAGGTTAGTGGCAGGTGACCAAGCATGACCACCTGAGCTCTGCCTCCTGTCAGACTGGCAGTGGCATTAGATTCTCATAGGAGTGTGAACCTTATTGTGAAGTGTGCATGTGAGGGATCTAGGTTGCTCACTCCTATGAGAATCTAATGCCTGATGACCTGTCAGCGTATCCCATCACCCCTAGACAGGACGGTCTAGTTGCAGGAAAACAAGCTCAGGATTCCTACTGATTCTACATTATGGTGAGTTGTATAATTATTTCATTATACATTACAGCGTAGTAATAGAAATAAAGTCCATAATAAATGTAACGCACTTGAATCATCTTGAAAATATCCCTCCCACCTTGTCTGTGGAAAAATTGTCTTCTATGAAACTGGTCCCTGGTGCCTAAAACATTGGGAACCACAGTCCTACAAGTTTCCTGACTTTCAGCATTTTGTACCTTTCTTTCAAAAACACAATAGTTATCTGTAAGTGTTTTTTCACTGTTACTAAATCTTAGGTTCTGTCAGCACAGGAATCATTCTCGGCCCCTAGTCCCACCCTGGACCTCACAGTGTTCTTTGAATACAGGAAGGGTTCAATAAATATTTGTTAAAATCCCTTGGAGTTTTGGCTTAAAAAGATTTCAGATCTAAAACTGAGAAAAGCCGACCTTTGAGGTAAGGCACAGAACGCCAATATGGCGGAAGCAGAAATGGGCAGAGCAAGTAGAGAAGGAAAACAGTTCATCCTTCTGCGACGCTGATAAGGAGCAACAGTTCCCCTTCTATTTTTTAAACACTAGGATGGGGTCAAATTTCCATCACATGTATACACTGATTCTCATTGCATTAAGACTTCTTTGTTGCTAAAATGCAAAGATTCCAGGCTTACAAAGAAACTAATACTCTAGCAGGAATGCCTGAAATAAAAATATCTACAACTAACTGAAACGTAACTATCAGGTTGCCCATTTTGTGTTGCTGTAATAGAATAGCACAGACTGAGTAATCTTTAAAGCAAAGCAATTTATTTCAGGGTTCTGGAGCGTAAAAAGTCTAATATCAAGATCCTGGCATATGGTGAGGGTGTTTTTGTGTATCATCTCTCAGTGGAGGCAAGTGGGTGAGTGAGGGCAAGAGGTTGAACTTGCCTCAACCTCAAGCCCTTTTGTGATCAGTATGAATCCATTCATAAGGTTAGAACCCCCATGGCCAGCCATTAGCCTTCACTTCCTGATATGGTTGCATTGAGGATTCAGTTTCCAACACATGCTTTTTGGAGGACACATTCAAACCACAGCTCAGGTACTTTATATTAGCTTTGTAATAACCCTCCCAGGTAAACGGTGTCACGTAGAAATTGTGGAACTGGAGCCCAGACAGGTGAAGCCCCACCACGTAGGTCACACAGGAAGAAATGGCAAAGTAAAAATTCATGCCCAGCTCTTCCTGCACTTTCTCACCACGCACCTTGCTGTTTCACTGTGGATATCCCCTGAGAGAATGAGACTCAGGTGATTAGAAAGATTCACCAGGGAGAAGAAAGTCAGCATGACCAGGACTAGAACAGGCCAGGGAACACAGTTGTAGGCGGACCATGGCATTGGATGGCTCGAATGTGGTTAAAAAATAAAAAGAACAAGATACAAAATGCACAAATGAAATACAAATGATGCTTGATTACAAATTTAATTTTACTTCCAAGCTTGCTTCAGCTTATCTTGGGAGGGTGAGGGAAATGAAGATGCTGGTAAAGTGCCATGGGAGAGAAAAGATTATCTGCGGGAAGAGAAGAATAATCTCCTGTGACTCTGCTGCCTCATGGACACACTGGAGCAGGGATTGGGCCCCCAAGGCCTCAGGTAGCCCTGCGCCTGTGGCTTAGCTGGGGGCAGCCCATGTGGCTGCTCATGTGGGTTGGAGGCTGGAGCCTGAAGCTTTCCCAAGTGGGCACTGCATGTTGCTACTGACTCCACAGTTCTGGGGTCCTGCTCCCACCACTCCACAAGGCACTCTCCAGTGGACTGGCTTCCATGGCTACACTAGACATTTCCCTGGTGGGGGCTCTCTGTGGCAGCTGCACCTCACATTTCCACTTGGTATCAATCATGTGGAAGCAACACATGTCGGTGTGAGGAAGGGGTCATAGTGGACACTGGGATGGGCTGTGTCTCCACATCCTCCTATTATGCTAACAGGATGCCTTTGCAGAAAAAGAAGGCAGAGTCTCCTGAGCTCATAAAGCGAGGCATGGAGGAATCCTCAATCTTTGTCTCTCACAAGGTGGCTGTCTCAGACTACAGAAGAAAATAGTCATGAACAAATTCAGATCAGTGATGACACTCTGAAAAGTCCTGTCCCCTCTGCCCCACCCCACACCCACTTCAGACTCCCAGGGTCTCACCTTTACAACCTGTGAGAGACACATCAGAGCCCTGGGCACTGTCGTTGCCTGGGGTAGAACAAAAACAGGACCTGGTCAGAGCCCGCAGGAGATGTGGGCCAGGAGGAATTATGGGGTGGGTGAGCTCCTCCACACTCCCAGCCCCCACTTACACGCAGCCTGAAAGTAGCTCCCTCCTTTTCCACCTGTCAGAAGAAAATGTCCTGTGAGGGGACAAGGAAGAGGCAGAGCCACAAGGTCCTAGAGGAACCCCCTAGTCTTGGACCCCAGAGAAGTTTCCAAAACTGTGACTGCAGACTCAGGGCAGGATCAGGAAACATGAGGAAAGCAGGTGTGGGTCCTGGACCAACTGCCCTCCTGAGGTCTGTCCTCAGAAGGGACCTTCCCTTGTGACTTGTGACTGCTGGGATCAGGTCCCCATCACCACAATCATCAAGGTGATACATCTGTCCTTCATTGTCACAGGTCCTTTATAAAAGAATAAGCACTGGCACACAGGGCCCACGCTGAGTAGGCCGGTGCGTGTGGATGGTGCTTGAAATCCCCAGTGGGACAAGAAAACAGAGACCCCACCCCTAACCCCTTCCTCACCTAAGCTCTTCTTTTTCTGCATCACAGCAGCAACCACAGCTCCAGTGACCACAGCTCCAAGGACAGCCAGGCCAACAACGATGCCCACGATGGGGATGGTGGGCTGGGAAGATGGCTCTGGAAGAAAACAGGAAGGTGAAGGGCCCTGACCCCTAGGCCTCCGCCCCGACCCTGATGAAGGGCTCATGAAGGGCTCCTGCTTTCCCTGAGAAAAGATGTGACCCCCCCATCCCCTCCTTACCCCATCTCAGGGTGAGGGGCTCTCGCAGCCCCTCATGCTGCACATGGCAGGTGTATCTTTGCTCCTCTCCAGAAGGCACCACCACAGCCGCCCACTTCTGGAAGGTTCCATCCCCTGCTGGCCTGGTCTCCACAAGCTCCATGTCCTGGGTCTGGTCCTCCCCATCCCACTGCCAGGTCAGTGTGATCTCCGCAGGGTAGAAACCCAGGGCCCAGCATCTCAGGGTGGCCTCATGGTCAGAGACAGGGTGGTGGGTCACATGTGTCTTTGGGGGTTCTGAGGGGAAGAGTCAGAAAATTCAGGCACTTTGCATCTCTCATGGGACAGTCCAGCAGTGCCTGTGTGACCATCCTGAGAACAAAGAGGACAATTAGAGTAAGAGAGCTCAAAACCTAGATACCAGCCTGGATTTAGGGGTCTGAGATAGCCTCTTATTCCTTGGAAAGTTCTAGAATTGGGGTGAGATAGCCCAGGATAGAAGGTGAAAGGGATTTCTGGTTTTGGCCTGAGCAGATGCTGAGTGACTGAGAAATGCTGAAGTCAAATCTCCAAAGATGCTTGGTATGGGGCTGAGAACCAGGCAGGAGAAAAAGTCCCCTATGATCCCTAACACAGGGAGTCAAAGAGAACTGCTGAGCAGTTCATTTGAGGGATGGAATCTCGGACATTAGATTCCTTAATTGCTCCTGAGAGGGGGCTGGCCCTTTAAGAGAGCCACTCTCTAGTACAGGATCTCCTGTACCCAGGGTGACCACTCCCTCTCCTGATCCAAGGAACAAGGGGTATTCTGGCTTCCATCCCTGTTTCTTCTACTCTTTGAGGTCTGTCAGCTGTGGGCACAGTCCCAGCCCAAGAAGGAGATGAGAGAGTTGCCCTGTGGCTCCTCTAACCCGCACGCTGCAGCGTCTCCTTCCCGTTCTCCAGGTATCTGCGGAGCCACTCCACGCACGTGTCCTCCAGGTAGGCCCTTTGGTGCTCCGCCTCACAGGCCTCCTCTGACTTGCGCTGGGAGATCTGAGCCGCGGTGTCCGCTGCGGTCCAGGAGCGCAGGTCCTCGTTCAAGGTGAGGTAATCCTTGCCATCGTAGGCGAACTGTTCATACCCGCGGAGGAAGCGCCCGTCTGGCCCCAAGTCGCAGCCATGCAGCCACTGGAGGGTGTGAGACCCTGGCCCCGCCCCTGCGGTCAGCCCCGTCCCCACCCCCGGCCCTCCCCGCCCAACCCGCGGGGATTTTGGCCTAAACTGAAAATGAAACCTGGTAAAGGCGTCCCGGGCTCGCCCAGGTCGAGGGTCTGGGAGGGTCCCACAGCCTCGGGGTCGACCTCGGACCCGGAGACTCGGGGTCACCCGGGCCGTCCGTGGGTGATGGGAGGGAGTCGTGACCTGCGCCCCGGGCCAGGGTCACTCACCGGCCTCGCTCTGGTTGTAGTAGCGGAGCAGGGTCCGCAGGTTCACTCGGAAACTCTGTGCGGTGTCCCTGGCGCTCCGTGTCTCCCGGTCCCAATACTCCTGTCCCTGCTGCTCCATCCACGGCGCCCGCGGCTCCATCCTGGGAATCGCGGCGTCGCTGTCGAACCGTACGAACTGCGTGTCGTCCACGTATCCCACGGAGATGAAGTGAGGCTCCCCGCGGCCGGGCCGGGACACGGAGGTGTGGAAATACCTCAAGGAGTGGGAGCCTGGGGGCGAGAAGGGGCTGAGACCCGCCCGACCTTCCTCCCAGCGCGGTTCCTCGGGTCTTGAGCCCGGGTCTGGGGGCCCTCAATCCTCCCCGCAGAGGCCGTTTACCTCCCCACCCGGCACTCACTCGCCCAGGTGTCGGTCAGGGCTAGGGCTCCCGAGAGCAGCAAGAGGAGGCTTCGGGGCGACATGACCCCATCCTCAGTGTCTGCGGAAAACCAGTCGAGGGTGTGTGGGGACTTTATAGTCGAGAATCGTGGCCGCTGATTGGCGTCTCTAGAAACCCGACACCCATTGGGAATGAGAACTGAATCTGCGTCATGAGTGTCTAGGAAGAAGGACCCGACCAGGCTCCGAGAAGAAATGAAACTGTGGAGTACGGAAGTCACAACGCTGCGACTCCCTAGTCCCCAAACTCTGCCCTTGGGGCCTGAGACCCTGACAGCCACGCCCGGGGGACCTGAAACACTGTTCTGCTCCCTTTCCTCCTGACCCAAGCGCGGTCTTTGTGACGCTATCAGTGGGTTTTTTCATTGTTGTGCTGTGTCTGTGTGTGTGTGTGTTTGGAATCGGATGTGTCCGTTGGGAGGTGTCTCGCTCTGTTGACCGGGCTAGTCTCGAACTTCTGGCCTCATGCGATCCTGTGATCTCTGCCTCTCAAAGTACTAGGTTATGGGCATGAGCCACCGCGGACCTCCTTGTTTTTCTTTTTGTGTGTTTTTTTTTTTTTTTTTTTTTTTTTTTTTTTTTTTTGAGACAGAGTTTTGCTCTTGTCGCCCAGGCTGGAGTGCAATGGCGCAATCTCGGTTCACTGCAACCTATACCTCCTGGGTTCAAGCGATTCTCCTGCATCAGCCTCCCGAGTAGCTGGGATTACAGACATGCCCCACCATGCTCGGCTAATTTTTTGTATTTATAGTAGAGACTGGGTTTCTTCATGTTGGTCAGGCTGATCTCAAACTCTTGACCTCAGGTGATCCGCCCGCCTCTGCCTCCCAAAGTGTTGGGATTACAGGCGTGAGCCACCGCACCCGGCCTTTTTTTTTTTTTTTGGAGACAGGTTCCCACTCTGTCACCCAGGCTGGAGTGTGGTGGCGCGATTACGGCTCACTGCAGCCTCGATCTCCGAGGCTCAAAGGATCCTTCCATCTCAGACTCCCGAGTAGCTGGGACTACAGATGCGTGCACCCACACCGGGCAATTTTTTTTTTTTTTTTTGTATTTTGTATTTTGTAGATACGGGTTTCGCCATGTTGCCCAGGCTGATCTCAAACTCCTGGGCTCAAGCGATCCTCCCGCCTCGGCCTCCCAAAGTGCTGTGTTTCCAGGCATGAGCCTGCATTGCTATATACTGTATTTTAAATCCCAAAGTGCTGGGATTATAGACGTGAACCACCGCGTGCAGCAATCAGCGGTTAAGTTTTTAGGTTTCAGTATCTCTTAGTAAGGACCCAAGTAAATTTTGTTTCTGCAGATTATATCAGTATTTATTATATATAAATTAAAACAGAATGTTAAAAATATTAATTCACTTAAGACAACATTAATAACCCATTACATGCTAATAGAAATAATATTTTCAAATGAAAACAAATCACTTTTAATTTTTCCAGAGTAAACAATATATAGGCCGGGCACGGTGGCTTGCCTGTAGTCTCAGCAGTTTGGGAGGGCGAGGCGGGCGGATCACGAGGTCAGGAGTTGAAGACCAATCTGGACAACAAGGTGAAATCCCGTCTCTACTAACAATACAAAAATTAGCCTGGCGTGGTGGCACATGCGTGTAATCCTGGCTACTCGGGAGGCTGAGGCAGGAGAATTGCTTGAACCCAGGAAGTGGTGGTTGCAGTGAGCCGATATCCCGCCACTGCTCTCTCGCCTGGGCGACCCAGCGAGACTCCGCTGCGGGGGTAGGGGGCGTGGAGAACAAACAAACAAAAAAAAACAGAATCTGCTTCAAGAAGTTGTCTTTGTTACAGCCAGGATAGTCGGCCAAATGACTTCAAAAAGACCTCACGCTTCATTATAATCCCGTTTCCAGGCTAAATGGCACTCCCATCAGTGCCAGGACAGTTGACAATCTCCGTGACAATGACTGGAAGTCCAAAAAGGACCGAAAGGAAAGCGGTATTACCGGTTTGGAGAAGTTCACTGCTTTTTCCTGTAAAACTTAGTAATATTCCTCCCCTCACTTTTAATGCCCAACCCATTCATTGGAGCCGTCCTACATTTTAGCCCCCTCACCCCTCACTAGCCAAGAGTTGATTTGGGAGAGCTGTTCCCGCCTTTCCAAGGCCTGTGAAGAAATAAAGCTTGCTCTGCCTGAGGCTCACTTTCGGTTTCATGTATTGGCTCTGCGACTCCCAGTGAGGAAAGATCCCACCTTCTGCAGCTACCAAGATTTTTGGTAACAAGAAGAGTAATTATTTTACATTTTTGTAAGTGTCATTCTTGCAAAATTTTGCAAGTGTCATTCTTGCCTCATAGCATACATTCTCTTTTTTACTTATTTTTAAAATTTCAACTTTTATTTTAGATACGGGGTACATGTGCAGGTTTGCTGCATGGGTATGTTGTCCAATGCTGAGGTTGGGGCATGGATCCTGTCACTCAGGTAGTGAGCATAGTACCCATAGATAGTTTTTCAACCGATGTCCCCACACTCTTCACTCTGTTGTTGCCATGTTTATGTCCATGTGTGCTCACTGTTTAGCTTCTAAATATAAGTGAGAAGATGCAGTATTTGGTTTTCTATTCCTGCATTAATTCACTTAGGATTATGGCCTCCAGCAGCATCCCACCCATTCTCTTACTTTGATTGAAGTGTATATTTAAAAAAAAAAATCTAGCCTTACACAAATATTGAGTTGAAAAGGGAAGGATTATTATTATTGCTGTTGTTTAGAGACAGGGTCTCACTCTGTCACCCAGGCTGGAGTGCAGCGGCACCATCATAGCTCACTGCAGCCTCAAACTCCTGGGCTGAAGGGATTCTTTCACCTCAGCCTTCCCAGTAGCTGGAACGACTTGTATGAGCTTCCATGCATGGACTGGATGGATTTATTTATTTATATTTTTTGAGACGGAGTTTTGCCATTGTTGCCCAGATTGGAGTGCAATGGCACGATCTTGGCTCACTGCAACCTCCGCCTCCTGGGTTCAAGCAATTCTCCTGCCTTAGCCTCCCGAGTAGCTGGGACTACAGGCATGTGCCACCATGCCCAGCTAATTTTTTGTGTTTTTAGTAGAGACGGGGTTTCACCTTGTTGACCAGGATAGTCTCGATCTCTTGACCTCGTGATCCACCTGCCTCGGCCTCCCAAAGTGCTGGGATTACAGGCTTGAGCCACCGCGCCCGGCGGATGGATTATTTTTAACAGCTTTACATGTAATTGTGGATATTCATCTTTCATATTACATAAAAACTATGCGAGCGGTGATTTTCTTTAAAGCAAATAATCCATTTTTTATTTATTAAAATTGTCTTTTTTTAATTGCATTTTAGGTTTTGGGGTACATGTGAAGAACATGCAAGATTGTTGCATAGGTACACACATGGCAGTGTGATTTGCTGCCTTCCTCCCCTTCACCTATATCTGGCATTTCTCCCCATGCTATCTCTCCCCAACTCCCCACCCCCAATGTCCCTCCCCTATTTCCCCCCAACAGACCCTAGTGTGTGATGCTCCCCTCCCTTTGTCCATGTGTTCTCATTGTTCAACACCTGTCTATGAGTGAGAACATGCAGTGTTTGATTTTCCGTTCTTGTGTCAGTTTGCTGAGAATTATGGTTTCCAGGTTCATCCATGTCCCTACAAAGGACACAAACTCATTGTTTTGATGGCTGCATAATATTCCATGGTGTATATGTGCCACATTTTCCCTGTGCAGTCTATCATCGATGGGCTTTTGGTTTGGTTCCAGGTCTTTGCTATTGTAAACTATGGTGCAATGAACATTTGTATGCATGTGTCCTTATAGTAGAACAATTTATAGTCCTTTGGATATATACCCAGTAATGGGATTGCTGGGTCAAATGGAATTTCTATTTCTAGGTTCTTGAGGAATCGCCACACTGTCTTCCACAATGGTTGAACTAATTTACACTCCCACCAACAGTGTAAAAGTGTTCCTATTTCTCCACATCCTCTCCAGCATCTGTTGTCTCCAGATTTTTTAATGATGGCCATTCTAACTGGCGTGAATGGTATCTCAATGTAGTTTTGATTTGCATTTCTCTAATGACCAGTGATGATGAACATTTTTTCATATGTTTGTTGGCCTCATGTATGTCTTCTTTTGTAAAGTGTCTGTTCATATCCTTCGCCCACTTTTGGATGGGCTTGTTTTTTTCTTGTACATCTGTTTGAGTTCTTTGTAAATTCTGGATATCAGCCCTTTGTCAGATGGGTAGGCTAAAAAAATTTTTTCCCATTCTATTGATTCACTCTAATGATGGTTTCTTTTGCCGTGCAGAAGCTTTGGAGTTTGATTAGGTCCCATTTGCCTATTTTGGCTTTTGTTGCCAATGCTTTTGGTGTTTTGGTCATGAAGTCCTTGCCTACGCCTATGTCCTGAATGGTTTTGCCTAGATTTTCTTCTAGGGTTTTTATGGTGTTAGGTCTTATGTTTAAGTCTTTAATCTAACTGGAGTTAATTTGAGTGTATGGTGTCAGGAAGGGGTCCAGTTTCTGCTTTCTGCACATGGCTAGCCAGTTTCCCCAACACTATTTATTAAACAGGGAATCCTTTCCCCATTGCTTGTTTTAGTCAGGTTTGTCAAAGATTGGGTGGTTGTAGATATGTTGTGCTGCCTCCGAGGTCTCTGTTCTGTTCCATTGGTCTATAACTCTGTTTTGGTACCAGTAGGGAGTTTGATTATTAAATGCCTTGAGGTGGTCTTCCTTGGGTTAAATTGGCTTGGTGTTATATAACCTTTTACCTGGATAGTTATATCTTTCTCTAGGTTTGGGAAGTTCTCCCTTATTTTTCCTTTGAATAAATTTTCTACCCCATCTCTTTCTCTACCTCCCCTTTAAGGTCAGTAATTCTTAGATTTTCCCTTTTGAGGCTATTTTCTAGATCTTGTAGGCCTGCTTCATTCTTTTTTGTGTCCGCGGTATGTTCAGTCTGTCTTCAAGCTCACTATTACTAAAAAGTTTCTTCTTTTTAAAATCAATTCTGCTGTTAAAAGACTGATTCATCTTTCAGTATA